AATACAACCCCATGTGCCCATGAATTTGTGTGTGAGTTTGTGGTAATCACATCAAAACGCTAAGAGAGTTCTGCATGGGTGCTGAGATTGTGGATGGCCTACTTTCTTTGTCCTTCTTTTCTGTATTTTTGTTTTGCAAAAAAAAAAAAAAAATCTGTTAATTTTATTTTTACCAAGAAACCATAAAGCGGTTTTACCCAGCCACTGACCCCTCCCTCCCCAAATCAGAATCCAACATCAAAACAGGAACATGTGCACTGCCTGTCACCTCAGCAGAACAAGGGCAACACCAGGACCCGGTATGGGCCACGTGAGGGGCCTGGGCCAGGACGGAGAGTCCCTGTCTGGCAGCACCTGGCAGCAAACGAATCCCAGCTAACACCCAGGCTTCACACCCCCACACAGTCAGACAAGAGAGGCCAGGTTCAAGTTCCATGTCCAACTTCCTAACTGGGCTGCCGTGTCTTCAGAAGGGCTGCAAGACCCACCTCTCAGAGTGTCATGAAGGAGACCATTCACGAAGGCCCCAACCCAGGTCCACAGTGACTGCTCAGAATGGGCTACTGTTTTCACTGTTTCACTCCCTTGCGGGGCAGTTGTACAGATAAATAATAATAACAGCATGCAGGGCACAGACACCAAAAAGCACTTTATTTTTCCAGTGCTCCTCAGCTTGGCGAGCAAGACACAGTCCCGATCCCCGTATCACAGACAAGGACACCAAGGTCTGCCTCCCCACAGCCGGTCAGAGATCGAGCCCATATTCAAACTGAGCCAACTCTGAAACGAAGTCTGAAACAGATTTGTGCTGAAACAGATTTGTGAACACAGACTCCCCTTAAAAGGAGCACTCCACACTGTGGTGATTACCCACAGCTGGGATCGCTAGGGGGTACAGAGGGATAGGACTGGCCCGATGCTGATTGCTGTGGGTGACGGGAACATGGCAGCTCATGACATTATTCCTTCCACTTTTGTGAAGATTTGAAATTTTCCATAATGAGAAACTTCCTTAGGCGCAGTGGCTCACACCTGTAATTCCAGCACTTTAGGAGGCTGAGGTGGGAAGATTGCTTAAGTCCAGAAGTTCAGGATCAGCCAGGGCAACATAGCAAGACCTCACCTCTACAAAAAAACTAAAAAATTAGCTGGGTATAGTGGCGTACATCTGTGGGCCCAGCTATTCAGGAGGCTGGGGCAGAAGGATCGCCTGCACCCAGGAAGTTGAAGCTACAGTGAGCCCTGATCGTGCCACTGCACTCTAGCCTGGGCATGAGAATGAGAGCCCCGACTCAAAAAAAAATTTTTTTAAGCTTCCTTAAATAGCAGAGCATTATTCTTAACACGGGCAGCATCACCTTTTCTTTATCTGGAAGATGAAGCCTCCCACAGCCACAATAACCTGGGCAGCAAAGATACATCCAAAAACTGCTCCACAGATGACACCTGGGAAAAAGGCCAGATAAGAGACACTTTAAGAGATGTTCACGCAGGACCACATGATGCACTGACAAGCAGGCCATGGCCCTCACACCAGAGGGCTCAGGGGCGTGGGAGGTGTGCGTGCGCGCACACGCACACGCACACACACACGTGCGCGCACACACACGCGCGCGCGCACACACACACACACACACACACACACACAACTGAAGGCAGTTAAATAGCTTTGTACCTAAAACTAGCCCAGGTGTTCAGGAGCTGGGTTCCTGTCACCAGTCTGCCACTACCTGGATGGTCTTGAGAAAGGCACTGTTCCTCTCCAGGTCTCAGTCTCCTCAACTGCACATTTAGAAAACTAGAATAGGTCAAAGATTTTCCTGACACCTCTGACTTTTTGCGACTAGCCCATGCGTATGAGCAGAAGCACCTATGGCACCATGCTCAGGTGACATGAAGCCCATGGGTGTGTTGGGGAATCGTGTGGCAAACTCCTGAACTTTGCTTCTGGGGCAGGGATCCTTTCCCACACCCAGTAACTACCAGGTGTAAAACCCAGACAGACAAGACTGGGCATGGTGATTCACACCTGTAATCCCAAAACGTTGGGAGGACAAGGCAGGAGGATTACTTGAGTCTAGGTGTTCAAGACCAGCCTGGACAACCTCATCTCTACAAAAAAAAAAAAATCAAAAACTTAGCCAAGCATAGTGGTGCCTGCCTATAATCCCAGCTACTCAGAAGGCTGAGGCAGAAGGATTGCCTGAGCCCAGAAGATCATGACTGTGGTGAGCCATGATCATGCCACTGCAGTGCAACTTGGGCAACAGAATGAGACCTCAACTCAAAAACAAACAAACAAAAAAGCTAACTGGTCCCTTTGTCTGTGGTCTAAAGATAGAAGATGTATCCTCTTGGGTCCCTAAACCTCTTAGATCACTTAAGCTTGTGTGACAAAGGGTAGGAGCACTTGACAAAGAGTCCAATACCAGAATTTCAGGCCTGCCTCTAAGCTACTGTGTAACCCTGGGCAAGTTACTTCCTTTCCGGGCCTCAACAGCCTTATTTCTAAAAGGGTTATTGGATAAGACAAGTTCTGTGACTCCCTCTGATGCTAATATTCAAGGATCCAATGCACTCAGTCACACTGCATGCCGGGCAAGTGGGCACACAAGGCCACACAGAGACAAAGGGCCCGAATAATCGCTGCAGACTAGAAGAGCTATTGGCATTTAGAAAAGGGAGAATGTGGGGTCCAGGCTGTGAGGCCTTGGAGGAGGAGGCTGAGAGAACCCAATGGTCCAGTGACATCTCAACTTCGGATGGGGAGAGCTGGCCACACCAGCCCTCCTGGGGGCCCGAAGGAGGCATGCAGATGGCAGCCTTCTGTGGACACTTGGAGCAAAATGCCACTGAACCAGCGCCAGGACTGTGGATTCCCCTCTACCTGAATCCTGGGGCAAGAAGACAGCGTCTGAGTAGGGACTGAAGGACACGTACCTCTCCGCCCCATCAATGAGTCCGAGATTGTGAGGGTGAAAGGTGATGTTGGTGAAGCCAGCCACACAAGCCCTGCAGATGATAAAGAGCAAGAAGAGACCACTGAGACACGTCTGAACACAGGCATGTGGAACTCTACGCTCGTGAAGCTCGGCCCCCAACAGCAAGAAGTGAACACAGTATTGGTAGGAGCCGAGGGGCTCCAGCTTCCTGCTGTAATAGCCGAGTGTGGTCGACTCGTTTCAAACATCAATCTCGTATTTCTTTTTTTTTTTTGAGTTGGAGTCTTACTCTGTCGCCCAGACTGGAGTGCAGTGGCCGCTCCCAGCCACTGCAGCCTCAACCTACTGGGCTCCGGTGATGCTTTCGTCTCAGCCTTCCAGGTAGCTGGAACTACAGGCGCACGCTACCACACCTGGTTAATTTTTTTTATTTATTGTAGAGATGAGGTCTTACCAAGTTGCCCAGGCTCAAACCCGCGGGCTCAGGCAATTCACTCACCTCGGCCTCCCAAAGCGCGGGATTACAGGCTGAGCCACCGAGCCCAGCCCAATCTTGTATTTCAAGAGCTCAGACAAGCCCTGAGAATGTCCCTCTTCCTCTGTTCTTACGAGATATGTCACATACGTGTCTGAGGTCCCCTTTTTGAAATCATCACAGGTATAGTTCAAGACATCTGCTAAGGGTGACCAGCTGAGAAAGGCACAGGAAGGAAAATCATAAGAAAGTGATGACAGGAAAAATAATAATAATAAAATAAAATTTAAAAATAAGAAAATTGGTTAGTATTTTGATCAATTTAATAATCTGAATAAATTTCAATAAAATGTCATAAAAAGTGGAAAAAAAAGTGATGGCAGGGAAAAATTTAAGTCCCCCGCCCCCCCAACATCTAAATAGTGTTGGTGACACTGCTGACAATGACACCAGCCACCACCTCTCAAGTGTATCTCTGTGGTGGGTTTTACTTACAAGAAACTCTAAAAGCTTTCCCTACATTAACTCACTGTGTCCCCATGAATCTCATCACCCAAGCTTCTCATCTCCATTTTACAGACAGGGAAATTAAGGCACAGAAAGTTAATGGGACCTGCCCAAGGTCACACCACCTATGAGACAGAGCTGGATCTAATCAGAGTTTCTGGCTCAGAGCCTAGGGTCTCGCCATCACAGGCCAGCACTGGTCAGTCTGGCCACTGTGCGACACAGCCCCCTTCATTCAGCAAAGCTCTGAGCTTGGAATTCATTGAAAACCTTCACAGCAAAGTGACAAAAAGCTTGAAACAGACCCAAGATTGAAAAGCAGAAAGACGGCTGGGCAAAGTGGCTCACGCCTGTAGTCCCAGTACTTTGGGAGGCTGAGGCGGGAGGACTGCTTGAGCCCAAGAGTTCAATGCCAGCCTGGGCAACATAGTAAACCCTGTCCCTATAAAAAAAAAAAAAATCAAAAAATGAGTCTGGCGTGGTGGCACACACCTGTAGACCCAGCGTCTCAGGAGGCTGAGGTGGAAGGATCACCTGAGCCCAGGAGGTTAAGGCTACAGTGTGCCACGATGGTGCCACTGCACTCCAGGCTGTTTGACAAAGTGAGACTCTGAGTCAAATAAATAAATAATGAAACGAAATAAATGAGATGAAATGAAATGAATTGCCCTGTGGCATAAAAGAGAAGAAAAACCTAGATCACAGGTTGGCAAATTACTAGCACAGGTTAAATCCAGCCACTGCTTGCTGTAAATAACATTTTATGGGAACAACCCTGCTTAGCCCTTGTGTATCTCCTACGGCTGCTTTCACGCCCCAAGGGCAGAACTGAATCACTGCAACAGAGACTGTGGGGCCTGTGAAACTAAAAATATTTGCTATCTGGCCCTTTACAGAAAGTCTATCAATCAGACAAACAGCTCACCCTCCTCTCCATGCAAGCTCCTAGCATGGGTTGCCACGTAGAGAGAGACGCGTATCTGCACCACGAATATGTCTCTGTGGGCAGAGAAACACTCCCGTCACTGGGTTACTCATGGGCTGTGTAACCCATGGAGGCCCCGCCTTACCTTCCCCAGTGGTGAGAATGACAGCGTAGGCTTTGATGGGTCCGTGGTTGGCTTCAAATCCACTGAACTTGACCTTTACTGAATTGTGGCTGGAAGACGTAATGTTAGGGGATCCATCTGGAGGAGGAGGGTCTGAAACAAAAAAAAAAAAACATGATTGCCCCACATTTCAAACCAAGGAAGAAGCAGAATTAGCAAGTAGAGAATGTGCTTCGGGGTCCGCCTCAAGATCTGTCCCTGCCCTGGAGACTGCGTGCTGACTCGTGCAAAGCAAATCTGTATGCAAGAGGTGGGGAAGGAAACTGTAGGCGAGACAGTGGGCATGGAGAAGACCGTCTGGCTCACAATGACCCCTTCAGTATGTCCAGTCACATCCCCCTGAGTGGGTGCCCAGAGCTTTGACTGGTTTTGTTGCTATCGTTTCTAATGGTGTATGTTTTTATTTTATTTTTTAAAACATATTATTGAGGTACAATTAGAATACACACAAGAAGGTGAAAAGCTGGTACACTGAAAACAACAAAACATTGATGAAGAAATTAAAAGAGTTACAAATAAGTGGAAAGATATCCCATGTTCATGGATTGGAAAACTTAATATTGTTTAAATGTCCATACTACTCAGGGCAATCTACACTTTCAATGCTGCCCCCAACAAAATCCCAATGGCAATTTTTAAAGGATAGAAAAAAATCCTAAAATTCATATGGAACTATAAAAGACCCAGAATAGCCAAAGTGATCTTGAGAAAGAAGAGAAAGGCTGGCGGCCTCACAATTCCTGATTTCAAAATGTATTTGTAAACCTATGGTAATTAAAACAGTTACAATAAAGGCATAAAGATATAGGCCCACAGGACAGAATAGGGTCCAGCATTAAACTCTCACATATCCAGTCAACTGATCTTCGACAAGGGCACCAAGAATACACAACAGGGGAAAGACAGTCTCTTCAGCAAAGTGTGTTGGAAAAATTGGATATCCACCTTAAAAGAATGAAACTGAACCCCTACCGTATACCACACACAAAAATAAACTCTGAATGGATTCAAGACTTAAACATAAGACCTGAAACTGTAAAATTCTTTAAGAAAAAAACACAGGGAAAAAAGTTCCTTTCTGTCGGTCTTGACAATGGCTTATCGGATATTACTCCAAAGCACAGCAACAACAGCAAAAATAGATAAGTGGAAGTAAATAAAACTAAAACGTTTCTGCACAGCAAAGGAGATATTCAACAGAGTGAAAAGCCAGCATCCTAGTCTGGTGAAGATAGCCTGTGTGCCTTTCCAGGACCACCCCCATGGTGAGCTCACATTTAAGGACAGGGATAGTCCATTCCGTGAGCCCCTAAATACCAGGGCTGCTAAAAAAAATGTATGCCCATTGTCAGAGATGTTTGCTGTAATCAGAAGTGTTCAGACACTATGGTGACCACTTTGAGCACTTCTTGTCATGGCAGAAATCAAACATGACTTGTTTTCATCTTATTGAGTATTATTTGTTTCTTTTTTTTTTTTTTAGTCAGAGTCTCACTCTGTCGCCCAGGCTGGAGTGCAGTGGCATGCTTATGGTCACCACAGCCTCAACCTGCTGGACTCTGACAATCCTTCTGCCTTCCAAGTAGCTGGAACCACAGGCACGCACCACCACACCTGGTAAATTTTTTTTATGTATTGTAGAGATGAGGTCTCGCCAAGTTGCCCAGGCTAGTCTTGAACCCTGGGGCTCAGGCAATCCTCCCACCTCTGCCTCCCAAAGTACTGGGATTATAGGCATGAGCCACCGTGCCCAGATAGTATTACAATCTTAATACAGTTTTTTCCTTTCTTAAAATGTGTATACTTTTTTTGGCAACCTCTTAGAATAGTTTATTCACAAACCCAAAGCACCTTTTTCATCCCTGAAGGACTACCTGGCTGAGGGGCCGGAGGAGTTACCAAGAGATGGTGAGTATTCTCCAATGTGGCAGACCATTTTGTATACTGTATCTTGGGGTGATTCAAGGAATGACTCTCCCTCAAGATTCTGACTAAATGTCGTTTCTCCCACAGCACTGACTATCAAGCAAGAATCTCCTACAACGGAGACACAATTCCACTACAGTATCAGGTGTTTCCTTGAACACCAACTTGGAATCACTTTGGGAGGACAAGGCAAGAGGAATGCCTGAGGCCAGGAGTACAAGCCCTGCATAGGCAACAAAGCCAGACCTCATCTCCACAAAAATCAAAAGATGAGCTGGGAATGGTGGCACGCCACCTGTATGTAGTTCCAGCTACTTGGGAGGCTGTCGTGAGCTGTGATTGTGCCACTGCTCTCCAGCCTGGGCAACAGAGTACGACCCCGATTCAAAAACATATTTTGAAAGAACTTATGGGAGCCAAGATAGCCAAAGAGCAGCCATTTTGACACTATCTAGTTCTGTCATGTTTTCTTAGCAAAATTACCTAACCTGCCCTCTAATCACTAGCCAAGGACAGAACTGATTTCTCAGAAGTAGCTAGTGATAATAGTTTCACAACCCCCTCTCCAGGCTGTTTGGTGAACAAGTTAACCTAACTAACCCTTGGCCTTCACAACATAGACCCCAAGGCTATGGGCTATGGCAGCAGTCATGTGACTAACCCATCCCTCTGCATGCTATCACCTGATATCAGTACCTGTGCTTACCTGCCCCTTCTGGATGATGTGAAACAGACCAACACCCAATCACCTTATCAACCTGCCCCCATCAAAAGGAAGGTTTAAAAGCATTCCACCTCAAGCAGCCATTTGCCATTGTTTTGCTAAGCTCTTTGAACTATGGCAGCCATGTTTTCCTAAGCTTTGGTCCCCTCCCCTACCTTAGAGAGGTGAATCCCCTCTCCCCTTCCCCCTTCCTCTCCCTCCCCCCTCCCCATCTCTCCCCCTCCCTCTCGCACATTCTCTCTCTCTCTCTCAACTTTTTTAAGTAAACGATATTTTCCAATCTAACTTCTGTGCAATTGCTTGCATCTTTCGCATGGCACCAGATCACAGTTCCCCTGGTCTGACCTAACATTTTGGAGGCCCTGCTGGGATTTAAGCTAATATATATATTATATTTATTCCCCCCCAGGCCTGTTGAGATGGGGGCCTTCAGTATTCTTATTAGAAACTGAGTACTAGAGGTCCCCAGGGGCTACAGGGGGGGCTGAGCACAGGCCTCTCCCCTTTTCCGTTTCTCAATCCTATCTCCACCCAGGCTACCATTCTCAGTCTGCAGGCCTTTCCTATTTCTTCTAATACCCTGCTTATCTAGATAGGAAGCCAGAAGAACTCCACTTGCTGGAACAGTCTTTAAAACATGAACGAAGAGACACCCCTCTGAGAAAAAACCTGAATTCACACTTTGGGGGACCTCCATTTTCATCGCTTGTTCAGGTTTCTTTTTCCTGTGATTTGCCTCTTGGTGTGGTTTGGATAATTGGCCGTGGCCAGGCCACTCAAGTTCAGAAAAAAAAGAACACTTCCTGGGATAAGGTTCTCCTGGCTTTCAAATTTCCATATGGCCTTTCCCTACCTAAGAAAGTCTGAAGCTTTCTTTCCCAGACAATAGGATGTGGAGAGTGAAAGCAAATTCTACCTCCAGGTCCCCCGGGGACCTCCAAGGAGGGACTTTTAAAGTCAGAGGGAGGCTTGCACTGAGGAAGTCATCCGCGCCATTGGCAAAGACATTGCTCTCCTTTCCTTGCCCCCTTCGTTCATAGAATGGTGCCTCCTCCAGCCAGCAAGGAAGGTTCCAAGCCAGAGACTCTGCAACTGCTCTAGGGGAAGGGAAGGGGCTTGTTTTATCACAGGAAAGGGACTCCCTTCCAGGAGGCCTCCTAATCCCTTCTCTCTCCAGGAGAGAAACAAGGGTGGGGAGAAAAAGACTCATTCCACTTCCTCCTCTTCGGTTCCCCACCCCAAGTTTCAGATTCCCTAAACCGAAACTGAAGATCTGCATTATTCTGTCACTGCCTGAAACCAATTCCCTTTTTGTAAAATGTTATTATTATTATTATTATTTTCTTTTATTTTGAGTCAGAGTCTCACTCTGTAGTCCAGGCTGGAGTGCAATGGCACCCTCATGGCCACCGCAGCCTCGACCTGCTGAGCTCAGGTGATCCTTCAACCCCAGCCTTCCAAGTAGCTGGAACTACAGGAAGGCGCCACCATGCCCGGCTAATTTTCTGATTTATCATAGAGATGAGGTCTCCCAAGTTGCCCAGGCTGGTCTGGAACTTGTAGGCTCAGGCAATCCTCTCACCTCGGCCTCTCCAAAGTGCTGGGATTATAGGCGTGAGCCACTGCACCCGGCTTCTTTTTTTTTTTTTTTTTGAGTCAGGATCTCACTCTGTCACCCAGACTGGAGTGCAATGGCACAATTACAGCTCACTGCAGCCTCGACCTCCTGGGCTCAGGTGATTCTTCTGCCTCAGCCTTCCATGTAGCTGGAACTCCAGGCACACAACACCATCCCCAGCTAATTTTTTATTTTTTGTAGAGATGAGGTCTCGCTATGTTGCTCAGGCCAGACTCAAACTCCTGGACTCAAGCAATCCTCCTGCCTCAGCCTCCCAAAGTGCTGGAATTACAGGCTTGAGCCACCACACCCAGCCGCTTTTGAATTCTTTTCTGACAAGGGTTTTGATGTCTGAAAAATAAATTAAGAGTGTTAATTCCTAATCCTGCTTACGTAAAGGCCAGTATGGTATAGTGGTTCAACACCAAGCTTGTGACACTTAGCAGCCCAGGTTTGAATCCCAGCCCTCAATTTGGCAAATACCTGGCCTGGGGCGTGTCATTAGCCTTTCTTGGCCACCTCCTTTCTCCTACATAACAGGGGTAACTACAGCACAAGGGGTGGCTGTGTGTGTCTTGTAAGCCAGCACCTGTAAAGTCCTTAGAACAGAGCCTGGCGTGGTAAGCACCACACAAAGTCTGCCATTGGTATCATTTATAAGTAAGATAATGCATGAAACTGCTTTGTAATCTGTCACACGTTACACAAAGAAATCACAGCAACACAGAAAGATACTTGCTTTTAGAAGTTTCTAAGTCTAACAGAGGATATGTAATTTACAAACAGGAAAAAAGACTTACCGATGTTTTTAGAACATGCGAACGC